ATGCTTTCAAGTGAAGAGGAGGGATTTGGGATCTCATAGACCCCAGATCCCTCCATAAAAAATACCTATCATGTGTTTGCTTTCACATGGGATGTTTCCATTATTTGTGACAGCAATAAAAGTGATCTAAAAAAATTAAAGCAACAGTGTAAAAATTAAAAAAAAATGATATATTTAAAACAAAAATATAAAATTAAAGTACCCTTACCCCCTATTTTCGCGCAAAAGTGAATGCTCACGTCATTCCTGCACACACGCAAACAGCGTTGGTATCGCTGTGAATGTCAGATCATGGGCAGTAAACATAACAATGAAAACTCTGCGCCACAGGCAAAACCAAAAGAAACCAAAAATAAAGAAAACACAGATGAGTGTGATTATGGCTGCTGTAGTCTTCAAAATGTGTCTAACTTCCACATTAGTGAACCCTATAAATGTGTATATAGACTGCGCTGCCAAAAATGTGAACCAAAATTACTTAATTTGCCGTATGTGAAAATGCAAAAAATGGAAAAAAAAAAGGTTATATAAATGGACAATACAAGAAGATACAAATAATGTCCAATGTATCAGTAAGTCCAGTTCAAATAGTTGCTGGGAAAGCCAAAAGATAGGTGAACAAGTGCTGGTGCCATTAGTAACAAAAAAAAAAAACAGGTGACCACTTCCAGCTGCTCCAGGTGACCCCACATGGATTTACACTCACCATAATGGATGGACCTTCTATTACTTTTTGGTTGGACCAACTGTGTGTCTTGTTGCCAACTTGACCATTCACATATACTAGGACTGCGATTTATGTCCATGCAATACACCGCTACTCAAAAAACAGTATCAGGGAAAAGGTTAATTGTGCAAAGCAGCCAACTTTTTAAAATCATATAAACCTAACAATTACACCACACTCACATGTATATGTGCCTAGGGATCGGCACCAGGTACATACAGAGTTTGTCGTTAAGATGGCTGCCACCACCACCCCAAAATCAGAAGCTGGCTTGTGCTCCTGGGATGGGAAGGAATGGGATGAGATGTGATCTATCGGCTGGGGAACACTGCTTCAACTAGCTTCATCTGTAATTGGACATCTTCAGGAAGCTAGTGTTCACCATGCACCAGACCACCTCTGTAAGTCTAAAGTAGTAACCTGTAAAGGTTTTTAAAGTGTCACCTATGAATAGTAGAATTTTCATCGTTTATCACCATTGCGCGGGTGTGTGCAATTTTAAGCGTGACATGTTTGGTGTCTATTTACTTGCCGCAACATGATCTTTTATACTGTACAAAAAATTGGGTTATGTATTATGGTTTTTTTGCAATACAATTCAAAAAAGTGTGTTTTTACCCAAAAAATTGCATTTGAAAAAACCATTGCACAATTAACATGTAACATAAAAAAATGCAAAAACCACCAATTTATTTTCTAGGACCTCTTCTTCTTTAGAAAATGTGTTTAATCTTTGGGGGTTCTAAGATATTTTCTAGCAAAAAAATTCTGATTTTATAATGTAAATAAAGTGTCAGAAATGGCTTGGGGCTGAAGTGGATATAGTCGCACTTTCATGTGAGAGAGTATTTGTTTTTTTATGCATGTTATTTTTAAATAAATGTAATGGTTTTATGCAGTGATCACACACATAATTTTTGAAAGCACTTTATTTATAGTTTTTTCACAACTTTTTAAGCACTATACGTTTTACATTGATGATAATGCAAGAGAAGATTTTAAAAGTTAGTTTGAAAGCACCTTATTTATGGTTTTGCACATGTTTTTTTTTACCACTATTTTGCACAGAATTGCACAGGATTGAAGTTTGCACAAATATTGGCATAGAAAGACACTTTTATGTTTTTCACAGTACCAGAAACAGTTTTTTATGCATTTCAAATTTTGACCTTATTATGCAGGAATTTTATTCATATGAAAAATCACTTGGAATAATTTCCTTTTTTCCCTCACTATATTTTCATGATAGTGATTCATTTTATGTATTTTTAAACTGTACTTTTTGAAATTCTTTTATTTTGGCAAAGTTTCTTAAGTACAAACAGTCAATTTGATATCAAAAGCATGTTAAATTGTCAAATGGTACAGCCATTAAGCACAGGATTGAAGTTTGCACAAATATTAGCACAGAGGGACCTTTTTATGTTGCTCATAGTACCAGAGACTGTTTTTTTTACTTGTTTCAGGTGTCTAATCTCCTAATCTCAAGGTCTTTATGTGTCTGTTAGACTAGCATAGTCATTATGGTATATTTATGGGTACAAGGACTGTGACATGTGTGCAGTGTAGCAAGTATGCTCATATTGTTTTTAACCCATTCTTCCACTCCCACTGTTAGGTGTTAGAGACTTACATATCTACACTCAGGTCCATAAATATTGGAACATCAACACAATTCTAACATTTTTGGGTCTATACACCACCACAATGGATTTGAAATGAAAACAAACAAGATGTGCCTTAACTGCAGACTGTCAGCTTTAATGTGAGGGTATTTACATCCAAATCAGGTGAACGGTGTAGGAATTACAACAGTTTGCATATGTGCCTACCCACTTGTTAAGGGACCGAAAGTAATGGGACAATTGGCTTCTCAGCTGTTTCCATGGCCAGGTGTGTGTTATTCCCTCATTATCCCAATTACAATGAGCAGAGTTAATTTCAAGTGTGCTATTTGCACCTATAGTGGGGAATAATCTTGTCACCTCAAAGGGATGGCAGGGGGACCTGTGGTCTCAGGCAGATTTTCAGGGCTCGATCAGTGGTCCCCTGCACCCTGGGAATGGCAGCAGCGATGGACCTGGAAGGGGTCTTCGGTAAGTATGTCTTACTTCATAGGAAAAAGTCTAGTAGGAATGGTTAGGGGGTTAAAGGGAGGTATGGAAGGGAGGGGGCTATATTTAGTGTGCAGTAACAGCAACAATTGACTTCGCCACCAGCAACATAAGACTCCCCAGCAACAATAGATCCCCCAGCAACTTGCATCAATAGACCCTCCAGCAACCCTTGCCATTACATACATTCAGTGCTGGAGGTGCTGGAACTGCATTTCACCCATGTTCCTGCTGAAAAAAAGACCCTGAAAGTCAGCATAGGCAGGTGGGGTTGACCTGAGACAAAGCAGAGAAATGGCGGCAGGGTGGGAGGGTCACATTTTAGGTTAATAGCTTTGATCAGTGGCTTTTTAACTGATAATCAGAGTTATCCTTTTGCTTAACAGAGTCTGCTGAACATTTCTGCTACAGGTTCATGGTCACTGAAGTGACCATGAACGTTATAGCAGAGGAGGAATGCAGGTCTGGACTTGGCCAGCTAGAAGCAGTGCTGTAGTTTTGTATGCCATATGGACCTGCCAGTGAAAGGGTTAAATAGGAGATCCCACATCATTCAAGCGCACTTTGAGTGAATGGCAGGTTAGGGAAAGAAACCTGCTGGTTAGGGACAGTGCTTAGTGCAGGAAAAGGTTCCTAGTGAGTAGGAACAACATTATGGACACTGTATAGGTAAAGGACACACAGTGAGCGCTCTCAAAGAAACAGCAGCTGAACATCCAGGATAAACGCATGTAAAAAATCCTCAGTAAAACATATATATATAAAAATGCAGCGCTGTAAAAAAAGCACATATCCATTTTCTGACCAGAGGGAGAGAGGGGAATCTCCAGGATTTCTTACACACATGCGTATTTTAAATGTGTTTCTGGTTAGTTTGCATTCTTTCCATTGGCACTGGGAATTATTGAGCACCTTTTCAGGACTATTATTGTGTTGATTTTGCATGATTTTGATCATTTACAGCGCTGCATTTTTTTATATATATAACATTATGGACACTGTCTGGTCCTGTGGAACCATCTGAAGATCTCCTTCAGTGGGCTAGTTCCGCCTAGTAATACAGCATACCACCACACTCCTCCAGCAGAAGTCCTCCAGAAACGATACAGTGTAATGCAGTACTGCCAAATAATTACTATAAAGCTTACTTTTTACTAAGTGTGAGTGTAGTTCCTCCCAAGCGGGGTTAACTTATACAGGCCCCACCTACAGTGGAGAGTAATCTTGTCACCTCAAAGGGATGGCAGGGGGACCTGTGGTCTCAGGCAGATTTGCAGAGCTGGATCAGTGGTTCCCTGCACCCGGGAATGGCAGTGGCGATGGACCTGGAAGGGGTCTTCGGTAAGTATATCTTACTTCACAGGAAAAAGCCTAGTAGGAATGGTTTAGGGTTAGAGGGAGGTATGGAAGGGAGGGGGTTATATTTAGTGCGCACTAACAGCACCAATTGACCCCAGCTCCAGTAACATAAGACTCCCCAACAACAATAGATCACCCAGCAACTAGCATCAATAGACCCTCCAACAACACTTGCCATTTACATGCATTCAGTGCTGGAGGTGCCGGAACTGTGTTCCCCACGTTCCCGCTGAAAAAAAGCCCTAGTTTAAAAAAAATTGTGTACAGTAAAATGATGTTTTTATTGAATTTTATTTATTGAGTGTTGATCGGTACCACTTAAAAATCCTTTGTGAGCAGTAGATCAACTGGTTAGCAATAAAAACTAAACAAGGAGCTAATCCTTCTCTGATTTATGCAAAGCAAAAAATGTGTTATAATATAAGAAAAAAAAAACTAGAAACATTTTGCATAATCTACTTTAATTCTCAAGCTAGAGACATTTATGATTTCCAGGCTGCTAATAATTAGATTGCATGGTAGGTGTCCATGTAGTAAGAACAGGTGATCCTCCCTTCCACAGTCCACGTATAACTGACAACAGGATATTCACCCAGTGCACCTGATTGCAGTCCGAGCTTCTGAATGTTTAAGCTGCAGTGAGAAGTTTGACCTACATTGCTGTAAATAGAAGCATCTTGAATAATGATCTTCTCAGTCTTGGACTTCGCCAATCTAACAGAAGATGAGTTTATCTGGGGACCAAACATATATCATAAGGCTGATGAATGGTACTGTTACTGTTGGGCAGAGGAGAGATGTCAATATCTGAAAGGATCCTCATCAGATTTTAGGTGAAAATTTTGCAGGATAGTAGTAATAAATAGGAAGAGCTCCATTTTTGCCAATCCTTCCCCAATGCACATTCGCTTCCCTATGGGCAACAGAAAAACCAGGGCAGTCATGATGTTGACTGATATGAGATCTGATATGAGAAAAATCTTGTTACAATACATCCATCCATCCACTCCTTCTATTTACCTGTAGAAAATGGTATGAATGCCTCCTTTTTCCAGAATCCCCCCTTCTCATCTAGAAAATTATTTGGGTCAAATTTGTGCGGGTTCTGAAACTGTTTTGGATCCTTCAGGACAGAGGTCAGAAAGTGGAAAAATAGTGGTGCCCTTCAAAAAGATGAAACATTAAGATAGCAATCTTGTTAATAATGAGAAAAAAAAATTAATAGAAAAATATATGTAAAACAGTGTTAAAATTAGTTAAATAAAACGATGGCCTCCCATTAAAAAATATGCAGCTGAACACTGGTATTTAAAAAAATACCTTTACATTGGGCCCCCTACACACAATGCAAGGGTTAACTGCTTGCTAAACCCTACTGCACACTAAATATGCCCCCTTCACTTCCATGCCTCCCTCTAAACCCCTAACATTTCCTACCAGGCTTTTCCCTATGAAGTAAGAACATACTTACCGAAGATCCCTTCCAGGTCCGTCGCTGCTGCCATTCCAGGGTGCAGGGGACCACTGATTCAGCTCTGCAAATCTGCCTGAGACCACAGGTCCCCTGCCATCCCTTGGAGGAAACTATGCGCACATTTAGTAAACAGTAAGCTTTATAGTAATTATTTGGCAGTACTGCATTACACTGTATCATTTCTGAAGGATGGCTTCTGCTGGAGGAGTGGTGGTATGCTGTATAAACCAGGCTGGCACTAGCCCACTGGAGGAGATCCTCGGATGGTTCTACAGGGTCCACAGTGTCCATAATGCTGCCCCTACTCACCAGGAACCTTTTCCTGCACTAAGCACTGTCCCTAACCAGCAGGTTTCTTTACCTAACCCGCCATAGGCTCAAACTGCCTGCTCACATTTGGCAAGTGGAAATAATGTGGGGGGTGAGTGTGTCCCAGTCAGGGCCACTATCACGGGGAGCTTGAGTGCAGCTGCCAGAGGAGCATATTCTTCCCCAGACACCATGACCAACTCGGACAGTGTGGAGAGCGACTATATCCCTCTATCTTCTACCCTCTACAGCCACTGGTAGCCTGGTATAGTGATAAACTGAGAGCAGGGAGAGCAGCTTACACTGGAGTCAGGCTTTATCCGCTCTGTCGCCCATCCTGTCATCCTATCCCCATTGCCCTCCTAGCCCCTTCCAACCCCATTGATAGATTGAAGAGGGGATAGCCTGCGATTAGGTAGGCCAATGAAGAGTGAGGGACAATAGTCAAGGCGAGATATAACAAGGGAGTGAATAAGCTGCTTAGTGGTTTCCGAGGTTAGGAACGGGTGTATCTTGGAGATGTTGTGGAGGTGAAGTCTACAAGATTTGGACAGATGGGAGTCTAGGATTACACCTAGCACCCTGGCATGAGGGGAGGGACTGATGATTGTATTATTGATCTTGATGGAGAAGTCAGGGGAGGGGGCACGGGCCAGGGGGAATACTAAGAGCTCAGTTTTGGAAAGATTGAGTTTGAGGAAGTGGAGTGACATCCATGCCGATATGTCAGTAGGTTAGTAATGCGAGAGGAGACCGAAAGGGTGAGGTGAGGGGTAGAAAGATAGATTTGTGTGTCATCAGCATAGAGATGGTACTTAAAGCCATGGGAGTTTATCAAGTGACCAAAGGAGGAGGTGTAGATGGAGAAGAGAAGGGGTCCAAGGACAGAACCATGAGGGACCCCTACAGAAAGAGGGAGTGAAGAGGAGGAGGCAGCGTTATAGGTAAAGCTGAAGGAGCGCTGCCAAAGGTAGGAGAACCAGGAGAGAGCAGAGTCTCTGAGGCCAAGAGAGTGGAGTTTTTTGAGGAGGAGGGGATGGTCAACCGTATCAAAAGCTGCAGAGAGGTCAAGTAGTAAGAGTATGGAGTAGTGGCCATTGGTTTTAGCTGTTAATAGATCATTAGTGAGTTTTAGTAGGGCAGTTTCAGTGGAGTGTAGTGATCGAAAGCCAGACTATAAAGGGTCAAGAAGGTTGTTGTCAGTGAGGTAGGAGCTCAGGCGATTGTAGGCTAAGCGTTCTAGGAGTTTAGAGGTAAATGGCGGCAGGGAGATGGGTATTAAGTTGTTCAGGTTGGTGGGGTCCAGGTAGGGCTTTTTAAGTATGGGAGTGATGTGTGCACGCTTTAGAGGGGAGGGGAAGGCACCGTTAGAGAGGGAAAGATTGAAGATATGAGTGAGGGAGCATAGGATGGAAGAAGAGGGTGGCCGCAGTAGTTGTGAGTGGACAGGATCCAGGGGGCAGGTAGTGAGACGGGCTTCTGAGAAAACCTTAGTGAGCTCTTCGGTAGTAGCAAGGTCTAAAGAGGAAAGTGTTGAGGGAGGTTTAGTATAAGGTATGCTAAGTGGGATAGATGTCTGTGCAGTGGCGATGCCTCTACAAATTGCGTCAATCTTGTTTTTTAAATGATTTGCAATCTCGTGAGCAGTGAGTGAGGTATTGGGTGGAGGTGGAGAAAGTAGAGAGTTAAAAGTAGAGAAGAGACGACGAGGACTGGATGACAAGGTATTAATAAGAGTGACAAAGTAGGCTTGTTTGGCAGCAAGAAGGAAGGAATTGTATGTAAGAAGGCAGATTTATATAGGGTGAATGCTTGTTGAGATTTGGTTTTACGCCACAATCACTCCAGCGCACGACTATGTCGTTTAAGATTTCTGGTGTCGTCAGTCTGCCAAGGTTGTAATGGTCGGGGCCTGATGCTTCATGTTGTTAGAGGAGCAAGTGAGTTTAATGTGGATGAAAGTGAACTGTTGTAGACAGCAGTGGCCAGGTCAGGGCAGAAAAGGGGAGAGATTCTGTCCTATAGTTGGTCAGTTGCAGAGTGGAAAGGAGCAGGGAAAGGATAGAGAGGGAGGGTTAGGGAGCACTTGAAAGGTGCTCAGTGGGGATAGAAGCAAACCAACTCCACCACCTTTCCGACCAATGGGTCTTGGTGAGTGGGTCCAGATGAGGCCTCCATAGGAAAGTGCTGCGGGAGAAGAAGAATCTGCTGCTTGAAGCCAAGTTTCTGTAATTGCTAGTAGGTTAAGGGAGCAGGAGACAAAAAGGTTATGGACAGAGGTGAGCTTATTACAGAGAGAGCAGGCATTCCAGAGCGCACATGAAAAAGGGAGGATGGTTTTTGGGAGCACGGGGACTGATATTAAGTTGAGGGGATTGCGGCTATTCCCGGAAGAAAGAGGATGCCTGGTGTGGGGGTGAGATACTGGAGGACCAGGGTTTGGGAAGATATCCCCAGAGGTTAGGAGAAGAAGGGTGAGGAAAGTAAGATGGGAGTGGGATGGACACGAGTGTATATGCCTTCCAGTCCTGGTGTTTGGGTCATCAGGAGAGTAAAGTATCAGCAGGAGGTGATGAAAGCAGTAGTAGGGAGATGGTAGCAGTGAGGATGAGATGTACACGTTTTGGATGTAATATGAGGGCCTACCTTATCTATCCAATTATTTGTATCTGGATAGGATCTTGCATTACATACTTGCTGGTAGACCTAAAGGAGATTGCACAATCCGATTGTAAATGTGTGGTGCTAAGCTTTAGGCTACCTACAGACATTGCTTGTCAAATTTGTGAAAAATCTATCATATAAAGATTTTTTGATCAGTAACATTAAAGTGGTTCTAACCTCAAAAGGTTTTTTCCACTTTAATGCATTCTATGCAATAATGTAATTGTGAAGCTTTATATTTTTTTCATTAAAAAAATAAACATGTCATACTTACCTGCTTCATGCAACAGTTTTGCAAAGAGCAGCCCTAATCCTCCTCTTCTCGGGTATCCCACGGGTGCCCCAGGCTCCTCCCCCCCACCTAGTGCCACATAGGAAGCCACTATTCAGACACACAGTCTGGCTCGACCCTGCCCTTCTTCATTATGCTCACAGGTTTTGACTGTAGAAGAAAATGAAAGAAAGAGCGCACAAACCTTGCGCATTACCTCAATAAATAGTGACTAATTTTATTATTAAGGAAATATACTCACAAAGTGATGGTTTAACAGGCATAAGTAACCATAATCCACACAGGGTTACAGGTAAATCCAAAGGGGGGGGGGGTGAAGGCTAATGCGTTTCGAAGGGTGCTCCCTTCTTCATCAGAGCTGGGTTGTGCAGATAGGGACTTCAGCATGGCAGAGCTCACATGGCAAGGAGACATTCAGCCACTGAGTGTCAGTATTACAGCAGTTCAGCCTGTTTAGGGATCACCCTTCGAATCGCGTTAGCCTTCATCCCCCCCCCCTTTTGGATTCACCTGTAACCCTGTGTGGATTATGGTTACTTATGCCTGTTATACCATCACTTTGTGAGTATATTTCCTTAATAATAAAATTAGTCACTATTTATTGAGGTAATGTTCAAGGTTTTCGCGCTCTTTCTTTCATCTTCTTCTACAGTTTTATCAAGCTTCCCCAGCTTCATGATAGAGCTGCACAACCTCTGATCACCAGCGGATGAACACGCTGCTTTTTACTAACGCCCGTTTGATCTGAGTCTTTGAGCGCAGGAGATAATGGATCTTTGGTCACAGGGTTTGACTGACAGCAGCAGGAGCCAATGGCTCCCACTGCTCACAGCCAAGCCTGTGAAACAGGGGAAAAGGGGGGGCAGAGCTGCTGCAGATGTGCCCAGCAGTGGATTGAGAATGGACTCAGGTGAGTATTTAAGAGGTGCAGGAGGGGAGCTAGTAATAAAAGTTTTTGTACATTAATGCAGAGAATACATTAAGGTTAAAAACTTTTTACCTTTACAGCCAGCTTATGGTAAAAAAAAAAGTTTCACTGTCTGTTCCCCCCACCCCCAAAAAACAAAGGTTTGCAATTTTTAAATTGCTTGCAAGATATACACGTGATCATGCTGTAGGATATGGAAATCATGCTTTCAGGTATAGAAAATGTGGTGAGGTGTTTCTGAGCTGCAGCAGAGAAAGCTTAGGTCCCCTCCTCTGCCATACAGGACTGTGCTGTATGACAGAGCCTTGCACATTTCAGAACTGGCTGGACAGAATTTACACATTCTTTGACAGGTAAAACAGCTCTCTGATATATATTTCATCTACTGTATGTATTAAGCGGTTTTTCTGGAGTTCAGCTTTACATGTTTGCAAGTTGTCCCAATGCAGATCCCAGATCTTTGACTGTCACAAAACCCAGACCTCACGTGGTTACACACAGTGCAGCTTGTAGTACAAAGATATAACATTTTTGTAACCTTAGGGATGGTGTAGCCTCGGAACACGATAGTCTCAGCAGTTGCATGTGGTACACTCATAGGCAAGACATCTGCTATTCTTTGTGTTTCATGGATCACTGCGTCTGTATATGGCATCTTCCTTCGATCCTCCACGGAAGGACAGCGGTTCTGACCAATCACATGGTCAATTTCTTCCTGCACTTTAGCTGAGTAGAGAGGTTTGATTATTTTTTTTAAACCTTTTTAAAACCTTGTTGACCATGTCACTGGCCAAAAACATGCAGCAATAGGCTGGTTTATATACACCCTGTTCCAAATTATTATGCAAATTCTATTTAAGTGTCACAAAGATTAAATATTTTGTTTTTCAGTTTAACTCATGGATGGCATTGTGTCTCAGGGCTCTTTTGATTACTGAAAACAATCTCGGACACCTGTGATAATTAGATTGGCCGGTGAGCCCAATTTAAGGAAAAACTACTAAAGGAGGGTGTTCCACATTGTTAAGCAGAGCACCATTTTCAAGCAATATGGGGAAGAAAAAGGATCTCTCTGCTGCCGAAAACAGTGAAATAGTTCAATGCCTTGGACGAGGTATGAAAACATTAGATATTTCACGAAAACTTAAGCATGATCATCGCACTATTAAGAGATTTGTGGCTGATTCAGAGCACAGACGGGTTCGTGCAGATAAAGGCACATTGAGGAAGATTTCTGCCAGATCCATGCATCGGATCAAGAGAGCTGCTGCTAAAATACCATTACATAGCAGCAAACAGATATTTGAAGCTGCTGGTGCCTCTGGAATCCCACGGACATCAAGGTGTAGAGTCCTCCAGAGTCTTGCAACTGTGCATAAACCTTCTATTCAGCCACCACTAACCAATACTCACAAGCAGAAACGGCTGCATTGGGCAGAAAAATACATAAAAACTAATTTTCAAACAGTCCTGTTCACTGATGAGTGCCGTGCAACCCTGGATGGTCCAGATGGATGGAGTAATGGAATGTTGGTGGACGGCCACCCTGTTCCAACAAGGCTGCAACGTCAGCAAGGCGGTGGTGGAGTCATGTTTTGGGCCGGAATCATGGGAACATAGCTGGTTGGCCCCTTTAGGGTAAAGGTGTAAAGATGACCTCTGCAAAGTATGTGGAGTTTATGACTGACCACTTTCTTCCCTGGTACAGAAGGAAGAACTATGCTTTCCATAATAAAATCATCTTCATGCATGACAATGCACCATCTCATGCTGCAAAGAATACCTCTGCATCAATGGCTGCTATGGGGATAACAGGAGAGAAAGTCATGGTGTGGCCTCCATCCTCCCCTGACCTCAATGCTATTGAGAACCTTTGGAGCATCCTCAAGCAAAAGATCTATGAGGGTGGGAGGCAGTTTACATCCAAAAAGAAGCCCTGGGAGGCTATTTTGACATCTTGCAAACAAATTCAAGCAGAAACTGTCCAAAAACTCACAAGTTCAATGGATGCAAGACTTGTGAAGCTGCTATCAAATAAGGGGTCCTATGTTAAAATGTAACGTGACTTGTTAAAATGTTGTTAAAAGTTTGATTGAAATAGCTTTTGATTTCAGTAAATATGCTGCAAACACAACAAGTGACAATTTTCAGTTCTTTACAACCTATAAAATGTTTTGAAACTTACTGCGCGTAATAATTTGGAACAGTGCATTGTAAGTTTTTTATGTTTAAAAAAAATCCTGTTATCATTAGGAGGTTTGTTCAATAAAATGTGAATTGTTCTCTTAATAGTTGATAACATGAGAATTATGCTGACTGTTATTTACATCAATTATTTAGGTAAATGAGAAAAATATTTGCATAATAATTTGGAACAGGGTGTTGTATTCCAGAGTTTCCTACTTTATTAAATATATATTTTTTCTATATAATTGGTGAATACCTGCATTGGTTGTGGCATTATAGAGGCAGCTAAGAAACACTGTTATAGTATTGTATTCTTAGGGCCCCAGTCAATGGGCAGGGTTTTCCTGCATTTGATTTGTGGTTGGAATCACTTGAATTGAATTTGACTTGTTTTGTGTTGTGTTATGTACTGATGGGCCGAACGCCAACTTGTTCGGTTCGTGGTCCAACAATCAAACCTAAAGAAAGTTCCGAACTTCGAAACAGGACAATTCGCTAAGCGGTATCTTAATGCATCCCAGTATGCGGTAAAACACCACATAGCTACTAAAAAATACTGCATGAGTTATATGATTATGTCATGCGGTATTTTAGTAGTGAAAACATTCTTTATTGTTTCAGCTGTCAGCAATGTAAAAAGAATTGCCGGCAATTAAAAAAGCGGCGTGGGGTCCCCCCTCCCCATCCATACCAAATTCTTCGGGTCTGGTATGGAGGTATGGATTATGAGGGGAACTCCCATGCCAAAATTAAGAAAAAAAATAGCATGAGGTCCTCTCCAAAATCCTTACCAGACCCTTATCTGGGCATGCAGCCCGGCAGGTCAGGAAAGGGAAAAACGAGCAAGCCCCCCCCCCTCCTGAACCATACCTGAACCACATGTCCTCAACATGGGAGGGGGTGCTTTGGGGCACCTTGTCCCCATGTTGATGGGGACAAAGGCCTCTTCACCACAACCGAGGTCGGTGGTTGTGGGGATCTGTGGGTGGGAGGCTTATCGGAATCTGTAAGCCCCTTTTAACAAGGGGGCACCCAGATCCTTGCTCCCCTATGTGACTGAGTATGGGGTTCATAGTACCACTGCTCATTTACAAACAATAAAAAATGTAGTGCAAAAAAATGACAGTAGATAGTCTTTGACAAGTCCTTTATTAAAAACAAAAATAAAAAAGTCCCCCAAAATAGATCCAATGTCAATCACGATGCCCGTCACCACTGCCGAAGAAAAAGAAAAAAACGCTCCGCTCTCAACGCTGGCTCCCGTCGTTTGACAGCTGTGAAGACCTGACAGATCTTAAATAACGTGATGATGTCACAAGGGGTGGGGTCACCCAGTTGACATCACTGAGTGGCCCCACCCCCTTGTGACATCATGATGTGCTGTGATTGACTAAAGCATTGCACCTGACCTTTACCAAACCAGTGCCGCACAATGATAAACATCACGTGCTGTGACGTAACGCGTAGGGTAGGCCGATGACATCAAGCCACACTACCGGAAGTTTGCAAACCACCATTTTGTGAGTCAGCTTAGAAGGCCGGAGTTGAAATTTGGGAAGCCGTTCAACTGTAGTGTCCCAGTTGGGCACTTTTTATGTGAGTGTACTTACCTTTTAATATGTGTTGATGGATACAAGTAATACACTATGATGTGAATTCTTTATGGATTTTTGGAGGATATGCTGTATAAGGAATAGGAAGACCAACCTGGATTAGAGTGTGGAGGAGATTGGAGGTTGGAGAGATAAAGAAAAATATACCTACCCGGGTTATAAGGGAAAGGTGCTTTTTGACCTAAAAAACTATAGGTTGAATCCAGGGGGTGAGAATATACAGTATATGTGTGCTGGTGGAGGAGGAATACACAAGGGCAGGGGCGGACTGACCATTTGGAAACTCGAGCACTGCCCGAGGGCCTGGGGTCAGTAGGGGGCCCCATGAGATGCCCCTGGTACCTTTTTCATAGACTTTTTTGAGTTTGGGCAAGGACACAGGGCCCCATGATCCCCTATTGCCCGGGGGCCCCATGAGTTGTCAGTCCACCCCTGCACAAGGGTGATTTTCAACATGGCAGGAAGTTGCACAAATATCTAAGAGAATATATTGATTTTTAAAAAGGAATTTTCACATTTAACAAGGACTTGGTTCACCATGTGGGAGTCATATATTGCAAGCTGATCACACTGTATATGTGATATTTGGCACTTGGTTATTATATGCACTTTATAAGGAGTGATGTGGGAGTTTATTTATGTCAGATGATTATATTGAATAGGTGATATTTGCACTGCACATATACTGTAGTATGCACTATATAAATTTGCAGCACTGTGTATAGTACATTAATATTGCGTGGCACTTGTTTGGTAAAGTTTATCTGTATATGTGGGAACACAATTAGTGTCAGCAGCAGCATCATATTGGAGGTGGGACCATTCATATAATTGCACTGAAGTATTTTGCAGTTATTGCACCTGACCTGTGGTCAGGTGTATTGCTTTTGCCAATCACAATGCACTGTCAGGGCGCGGTGCATTGTGGGGCATGGCGGGCGTACAGCCCGCTGAACGCCCTTACTGTTCTTGTGTTCATCCTTCAACATGAACCCTTATTGATGCTAAAGCCAAGGGAGATTGCTTCTAGTTCATTTAAACTGAAGTACAGTTGTCTTATTTATATAAGTGATGGACCCCAGTTAAATGATTGAACCCTGGTAATTTAATTTGGGTTTATACTTATGGCTGAATCAACAGAATCCCATAATGTTGCCCATTTTGTCAAATGCACCAAAACCTTAAGTACCATCATTTCAATTAAAATAGGAAAATGATTTTTCAAGAGAAAAAAACCTTTGGCCACACTTACCTAAAATGTCTGGGTACTTTAGCAAAATCCTAAAGCTGAGTCTTATTGTTGTACTTGTTGTTTCTGTCCCAGCTAAGAAAATATTTATCACGGTGACAAATAGGTTTTGAAAGCAGAACTCTGATTTAGGGTTATCCTTCTCCTAAGAGAAAAAAAAATAAAATTATATAAAAAATATATATAGTTGTACTCTTAACTTTCTCTACAATGGCAACAACACTACATTTCCACCTTGGGCTGGTGTGACTTTAGCCAATTTAAGAAGGACTGGGTTCTAGCTGAAGTTCCTTTTTATCATGGTGCTAAAACCAGATCCCTTAGATACCGGTTTAAAAGATATTTTTCATTTTTTTTTCTTTTTGCTAAGTCCAAAGCTTATTATATTTTTACATTCTTGTGTTTTTCCCCTTTTTAAAGAAAAATGTGCCAAGCTGTATTTATCCTCATACTCCAGTGTTGTCCCCAGATTTCAGCTTCATCCAGCACTGCCGGTCCTCTTCAGGAAGAAATGACAGTCATGTGAGTTTGCCTATTTCCAAGCCAAGCTTGTCCATTACAGACCTCTGAGGTTGCATCATCATGTAGGCTTGTCTCACAGTACATCAGGAGCTAGTGGCATCAACATCTCATTACGTGAGTGCTACTCAGTCCAGGACACTCCCTGCCACCTAGAAAGAAGAGTCAGGGTCCATGATGTCAATGGACCAGCTAGAAGACTGCAGGAAAAATGTATATATAAGGTTCCTGTGAGGGACCGCCAAGCGGCACCACTAGCACTCCACCGGTCAGGCGTGCCCAGAGCGCGGAGTCTAAGCCCCAGGGTACTTGTTCACCAGAGCCCCTGATGGTGGGGATGGACTTGGAGTACCCAGGGACCAGGTCGCCACTACTGAGCACACCTGTCAGTGGTAGGGGTGTTTGCCAGGGGCTCCAACCAGGGAGAGCCAGATGTGAGGAGGGGTGACCCCGATGGAATGGATGGATAGATGGCTGAGCAAGTGCGAAGTCAGACGGGCCGAGTTGGTAACGTAGAGGACGGTATAGTACAAGGGAGCGGACAGAGAATCGTCGGGTCACACGCCAGGTCAGCAACAGCAGGTCAGATCTAATGAGGGGCATTCAGAAGAGAGGTCAGGCAAAGCAACGGTCTGGGCAGGAGAAATCAGCAGGTCAAGAGCAATCCGGGTCAAATAACTTACTAGGAACAGGTTCAGATTCGCAGGATACAGGTAGGACCAGAAGGCACTGAATGACAGCTCAGGGACATTTAAATATCCCGCCCTGCGCTGCCATTAGTGCCCAGTGGGGCGGCCGCGGCTTCTACTGTGCATGCGCGAACTCGAAACGCCGCGGCCGGCCCGGACCTAGTGCCCGTGTCCCTGCACAGGGCGGTGCACTGCGCCTGCGCCGGGACCATCGCGGCGGGGATCGAGGGGATCCCTGACAGTTCCCCTAAAAATAAAAATAAAAAAAAAAGACATGGGGGGGAGGGGGGGTGTATGGGTGGTTTTACCTTTAGATGAAGTCTCATTTTAAATTAAAAATATTATCAGATACATTAATGAAAGTTCAACTCCAAGTTCAATGTGAAAAATTACAACTAGCTGACAGAATTTCTAACCCTTTCTTACTCCATCCAATACTAAAACATTAATATATAAGTACCTACTTATTTATGCTTTGCATATACAAAGTAAAGTAGCAGATTCACTTTAATGGCACCCCCAGCTCATAAATAGAGCCTACATGTCTTTGCCAAGAAACCCTGCCTACCCCTCCTCCATGCGTTTTGGCCTGCCCACCTGTGAGCTTAGCCATAGGACCTATGACTAAGCCCCGGTGGGTGGGGAGAATGCAGCAGGGGGCATAGTTTCTTGGAGGAGACATTTAGGCTGAAGCTGATCCTCATACGCAGATTATGGTGGCTGGTTGGGAAAGCAATGTTTTCTCTATTTACTGTGCACAGCGCTCTGGATGGGCTGACAGCCTGCAAACCTTCACCTGTGGATCATGGAAATGGAATCCCTGGCTTTGAGTGGTATTTCAAGCTAAATCTAAAGCCCCAGTTCATACTCACCTACTGTTAACACCCTTGCTGTGCCATTTGGCTGGTAGGAGTGAATTGACATACCCCCTACTTCGAGGTATGGAGGAATATGTTCTTGTATGCTTGAATATGCTCATGTTGTTATATTTGTTTAATGAGGGCAAATAAAATGTCCATTAATTATATCAGAAATTCAAGAAGCCTAATTTGCCCTCTCTGTACTTATTTTGAACTACAGAGAAAGGTCTACGTTGACGAGTGGAAGGGTTTAAGTAGTTTAGCAAAAGACAACTGGGCACGTCTGACACCACTCAGTCCACAAAAATGGTTTGTGTTGCCAGCTCACAACAGGATTTAGGACCTGAGTGCATCTCAACAGGCATTTATCTGTACTTGTAGGGTCTTTAAAGGGAAACAACATAGGTAGATACAGTATGCATGTATTGCAGAGATGTACTGTACTTCATATTGTTTATTTTAATTTTTTATTTTGTCTTGACATATGCTTTATTTCCTACATGTACTCTAGAACAGGGCAGGTCTTCCAGAAACCCAGAGTGTTGTGACCGAGTTCTTACTTGCCTGCTCCATTTTTATAAGGAAGCAATCTATGAAGTCCCGGGGACAGTTTTGGTCCAGTGTCTTCTGATGCTCTCTCACTTTATCCATCACAAACTCATTCAGAGTGAAGAAATTCTGAATCACTTGATGGTGTGGTCCTGGTAACAAATGCATAATTTTTGGAAAGGAATTGAGCAGCTATTTTTGGAAAGAAAAATAAAAAAATATATAATAAAAAATGCAACAACTGCAACATTTGCATTTAAGAAAATAACTTCTAATACTAATAGCTGCTAACATTTAGTGATCTTTAAAGTAGCTGTAGTGTCAGATATATACAGTATTTTTCATGTTAAGTGTATGTATGTTAAATAATGTATAATGGAACACTTTGAAAACACAGATCTCAATGGGGAAAAAAAATATTATGCTGGATATCTATACTGATATGGACTGGGTGATGTGTTAGGAATGTAAGGATGCCCAATCGATTGATGGAAATAAAAATGATCAACCTACAAAGTGCTGAATTCAAAGACACTCCAAAAATCAAAGTGAAAAAAATTAGGCAGCAAGCTAGTCCATTCTGCTGAAATTTCATTGCAGCAACTCAGTATGGTATTCAGCAGTTTGTATGGCCCCCACGTGCTTGTATGCATGCCTGACAACGTTAACCTCCCTAGCGGTATGATTATTTCAGATTTTTGGTGCTGAAAGCGGTACCATTTTTTTGTATGGAAATATGTAGTTTTTTTATTGTAGGCCTGTAATTTAGGAGTAACTCACTGAAATCTGTCCGAACAAGAGTCTAGTAAACATCCCGGATATGATAAAACTTGAAACACAAAATCAAAAAATTATAATTTAATAAATAATCATAAAAAATAACAATATAATAATAATAAATTTAATTCAATAATATAATTAAACCAAAAACACTGAAATTTGAAATATAGCGCCAAGTTCACACATTGCTGAGCAAAGTCGCAGAATCGTTTTCAGTGTCTGATGACGAATTTCCCCACGAATCATTATCACTCAATTCTGCAAGTGGTTCTGATTTACTATCGCTGTTCTCTAGCCGGTCTAAAACCGAATTTGACCTAAAGGGACGCTTTTTGGACACCATGGACTTTTCTAAGTTTCCAGGCAGAAAGAACAGTCAAAATGCAGGCAGGGCACAGGACAAAGCAGCAGGGACAAAATGTATGTGAAATGTTTTGAAACAGCAATGTTTTACTATGTAATAATCGTTTTTTAAAAAAAATTTAATTTTTTTAAATTTTCAAATTTGCCGCCGGTTCCAGTGCCCATACGTCCCGACGTCACAGGAACCGGAATACGGAAGCCAGATGCCGGCATCGGCCGGAGGAGATGGCTGGGGACGCTGCAGGGGACGCATCGCGGGAGAGAAGGACAAGGTAAGCGCTGCAGTGAATCCCTGTGAAACGCTGCATGGTAAGCCCGAGTGTAGCTCGGGGTTACCGCTTTTGGTACTGAAACTCTACCCCGAGCTACACTCGGGAATACCTCCAGGGAGGTTAAGGCATGCTCCTAATGAGATGACGGATGGTCTCATGGGGTATTTCCCTCCAAGATCTGGACCAGGGCATCACTGAGCACCTGGACAGTCTGAGGTGCAATCTGGTGTTGTCGGATGGACCGAAACATGTTATCCCAGAGATGTTCTATTGGATTTAGGTCAGACGAGCGTGGGGGGCATTCAATGGTATCAAATCCTTCATCCTCCAGGAAATTGTTGTGCACCGGGAGGAACCCAGGACCCACTGCACCAGCATAGGGTCTGACAATGGATCCAGGGATTTCATCCCGATACCTAATGGCAGTCAGGGTGCCATTGTCTAGCCTGTAGAGGTATGTGTGTCCCTCCATGGATATGCCTCCCCAGACCATCACTGACCCACCACCAAAACAGTAATGCTAAACGATGTTACAGGATATATACAGACACACACACAAACTATATTGTATTGGGCTGTCTGCTTTTACAGGCACTTGAATTTTAATGGCATCCCAGTCTTAATCCAGTGGGGTTCAATATTGAGTTGGTCCACTGTTTGCAGCTATAACAGCTTCAACTCTTCTGGGAAGGCTATCCACAAGGTTTAGAAGTGTGTCTATGGGAATGTTTGACCATCCTTCCAGAAGCGCATTTGTGAGGTCAGACACTGATGTCAGACGAGAAGGCCTGACTCGCACTCTTCGCTCTAATTCATCCCAAAGGTGTTCTATTGGGTTAAGGTCAGGACTCTGTGCAGGCCAGTCAAGTTCATCCATCCCAAACTTGCTCATCCATGTCTTTATGGACTTTGCTTTGTGCACTGGTGTGCAGTCATGTTGGAACAGGAAGGGGCCATCCCCAAACTTTTTCCACAAAGTTGGGAGCATGAAATTGTCCAAAATGTCTTGGTATGCTGACGCTTTAAGAGTTTCCTTCAGTGGAACTAAGAGGCCAAGCCCAACCCTTGAAAAACAACCCCACACCATAATCTCCCCTCCACCAAACTTTACACTTGGCCCAATGAAGTCAGGCAAGTACTGTTCTCCTGGAAACCGCTAAACCCAGACATGTGCATCGGATTGCCAGACAGAGAATCGTGATTCATCACTCCAGAGAACACATCTCCACTGCTCTAGAGTCCAGTGGCGGCGTGCTTTATATCACTGCATCTGACGCTTTGCATTGCTCTTGGTTATGTAAGGCTTGGATGCAGCTGCTCGGCCATGGAAACCCATTCCATGAAGCCCTCTATGCACTGTTGCTCTAATCTGAAGGCCACACAAAGTTGGAGGTCTTTAGCTATTGACTCTGCAGACAGTTGGTTACTTCTGAGCACTGTGCTCTTCAGCATGCGCTGACCCCGTTCTGTCATTTTACATGGCGTATCACTTCGTGGCTGAGTTCCTGTTGTTTCCAGTTGCTTCCACTTTGTTATAATAGCACTAACAGTTGATCGTGGAATATTTAGTAGCTAGGAAATTTCATGAATTGACTTACTGTACAGGTGGCAACCTATCACGGTACCACGCTTGAATTCACTGAGCTCCTGAGAGCGACACATTCTTTCACAAAATAATAGAAAGAAATGCAGCGCTTCATACTGAAGTAAAACATGACATAAAATCAAATAAAAAGATGAATAAAAAAGTCTTAAAAAGTGCAACGTGGCATTCGTGATTCCTTAGATGGTTTTTATTTGAAATGACGTGACTTCCGTGGTTCATGAAAAGTGAGTATATAATGTACTAACCAGATAGCACATGTTAATGTGCGTTGGAGTGAATAAGACCTACTCCAAAAGGTACTCTGGGAACCGGAACTCTGCAAACAGGTGATGTCGTCAGGTGGGGTTGAGTCACCAGATGTCATCCGACCAGCACAGATATCCTCATTCCAGTGTAATGTATGGTCACCACATAAGGTACATCATGCAATATCGACTTCGGTCACCAGGGGGATCATGCACATGGGTGTACGCCTCCTACCATGGATCACCTTAATGGGGGGTGGGGGGCTCGCAGGTTCCAAAAGAATGAGCCCAGAGAGAAAGGAAACTCCAATAGTGTAGTATTTATTATAACAGCTGGAGTTACAATTGCAAGCAGATATAGAAATGTAGAAGCAAAAACGACTAGCTCTTACATCCAAATATGGTAAGGAAGCATAAGGGTCATAAATCCTTGCACAGAGGGGTCTCCCAGACGCGTTTCGAGTACATACTCATTATCAAAGTGTACATTAAGCATGGACCAAGTGTTTAGTAACTGGAGTAAGACAAAGGCACTGGAAATGGCAGAGATTCCCCAAGCACAGAACTTTGAAAATGGACTAGTTAATGGTTGGTGAATACCGCTGTAACCATGGAAGGTCTAGGATAATGGAAGAGGTGGTTTGTGGTAAAACAGGGATGGAGAGGGTTTCCCAATGTAGCACTTCTATGAACATCTTGAGGGGCACTGTTTGCTGGAGCATGAGCCCACTGGAGAGTAGGGTGCCATTGATGGCTGGTATGAAGGGAATGGATTCCTAAACAAGCCCCTGTCATAGAGAAGAATGATTAAAAGTAGGAGAATTAACAGATGGTGGAAAAGGACAGTCTAATAGGCCCTTCTTAAGGCAAACTTAACTGAGATGTTTTCTGGGCACCAGGGACATAGGTTGAGTTAATGCCCCTTTTATCCACAGTACATGAAAATTTCTGGGGTGCGGTAGGGAGTTCCTTCCTCTGAGGATTGCTAAGCTTGGCCAAGTTGCATGGGTTACTGATGAAGGTTCCTTGTGGTACCTCTTTAGATACAGAGGAACTAGGGGCAGAGTAAAATCACTGCTGGTGACTATACTCCTGGAAATGCTCCTGAAATTGGACATCAATCTAGATGGTGAGATAAACTAGACCATCCAGAAAAAAGGATAGTTCTTTACCTGCCAGTTCGTTTTTTTATCAGATAGTCAGATAGTTCTTGTCAAAATGTGGCCATCAGGTTCTCATTATTCCAACCCATTTTGGCTACCAAAGTCAAAAATTGTATAGCATACTGACTGATTGTCACACTTCCCCAATGAACGTGAAGTAAGCACAAGCAGCGGAGGAGGCTTATCCTGGCTGATCGAATGTGCTGTGATTGGTGGTTTGGAACTCAGGGAATGCATAAACCAGGGGGGAGAAACCCAAGTCAATCACATAACCCACCTTGGGTCAGTTAAGTGGGAAGTTCCAGGACTGTTATTCAAAGTGAATTTTGCAATGACGTAGGAAGCCCTGAAAGATTTCCTATAGAGGTCTGAATAGCACATGTTGAGACAAAGACTCTGCTCCTCTGCGAGTGGAATCTATGAAGTGGTTGGTATTTGGTCAGGGTTCCCCTGACTGGAGTTTGGACTTAGGTGCAGGCTACTGCCAGGTCACTTAACAAATGTTCACAGTTAGGTGCCAGGTGAGGAGGAACTGTGAGTGTGAGAGTGGTACATGGCACAGGGTGTACCAAATTAAGTGTAGCAACCTCCTAGGTACTGTATGTCCTGGGATTGGTAGAAATTGAATGGTTGGATCGGCATTAATATTCCTGTTGTGTTCTGCCTATTCATCCATAACATTCCTAGGTTGCTTGGATACAGAGGAAGTCAGAGGCAGAATTCCCAGCACTTAAACATACTAAGAACCTCACTGAATAATTGC